CACGAGAAGTGCAAAAACGCATAATCGCACCGGCCCGCCTGGTGCGTTCCAGCCTGGGTTTATAAAACTAGTGCTCGCAACTTTTGTTCATCTCTGGCCTTTTGAATAATTCCGTGCTTTCTGGTCACTTGTGGCGCCCCGCGTTCTCTTTTTGCATTTTTTCTACATGGATTACTACCCAATTAATCCAACTGTCCTGCCTCGCTAGAAAAAGATGTAAAACCTCAGAAAAAAATATAAAAATAACATTATGGCGCTGCAGAATTTTACAGACCGGAGTACCAAAATCCTTTCAAAGCACAACAGTGCTGTAATTCTGACGGGCTCTAGTTGAACAATTGAACTTACGAAGAGAGCGACCACTAAGGCATAGATGTATGGTTCACTGGGTGAAACTGCATAGAATGAATAGAGTAACTGGATAAGCGGATAATTGAGCAAAACGGCCCATGAATTGGGAATAAACGAATGTAACGACCAAATCTGGATGCGATCCGAGCGCCGCGGTGAAATGTACAGATGGTGTCCGCGGAAACCAATCTTTATGAGGCGATAACCACGCAGCTGTGGAATGGTCGCAAAAATACGCGAAACCATTAGCCTGAATAAGTACAATGCAATGCAAAACTACAAGCTCAGTTCTCGATAAAATGAGGAAGGCGCACGCTGATTTCATGCTGCCTTCTCAATTTTGGCTTTCGTACACCTAAAAGCGTTTCGTAGCGTCCCTGAATTGGCCTTGCCTCTCTGCACTGATTTCATCGCTTAAATTCCGCGTGGCCCTACGCTGTTTGATAATCTTTCTGGATTCGCTTGTGGCAGGGTTACACGTGGGAAAGAAACATTCTTATTAAATTCCGGCTTCCTAACTTTCATGGTTCCCGAGATAATTTTCCCACCAAAAATTTCACGAGACCGTAGGTGATATCCAAGCGCATGGGAAGATTGAACTTAATTTTCTGGATCGTGCGTGGGCAGGGGACATACTCACAAAATTCCAGCTCACTAGCTATTAGCTTGTGGCGGGGCGTGCAGCGCCCCACAAGCTGATAATTTTTCGACAGACTGACAAACTTTCGTTGGCCATCCAGATAAACTCCTGATAGATTTCCTCCTGAGAGACTTTCATTGACCACTCTTGGCTAAATCTATCTCATCCTTTTTTACATTCCTATTGCCCTCTCGGCAGCCCTTTTTATGCCTTTTGCGTTGTGAAACAATAGCACAAAACGCACATTTATGTCCCCTGCCCACATGCGATCCAGAAAATTTAAATTCAACCTTCCCGTGCGCTTGGGTATCACATACAGTTCCATGAAAGTTTTGGTGGGAAAATTATCTCGGGAACCATGAAAGTTAGGAAGCTGAAATTTGACAAGAATATTCTTTTCCCAAGTGTAACTCCGCCACAAGCGGATCCAGAGCGGACTCCTTGAGGGAAGGGGACGAGGAGGTGGGGGAGAGTGTGGCCCCTGGGGAGGGGGCGAAAAGGGCTGAGGGAGGACGACAGAAGGTGGGGTGAGGGTGAGCTATGCAAAAACTGCGAACAGAGTTGTAACACTGCTATTTAGAGTTACCTTTGTTTTATTTATGAACAAACCTTAGCTTTTGCAACACTGGTGTCTGCACCGCTGGGAGGGCGAAAGACCTTTTGCCTAATCTCCTCCACTCCCCCTCTCCTGCACCCTCCTACCCTATAACTCGCCTATGAACTTCGTAAATTCAAAATCGTTTTTCAGTCAAGCCTGGATCTCAATTACGTCGCCGTGAAAGCTTCGGCGGGAGAAATCACAACCTTGGGGGTCTTAAAAGACAGAAATCTGAAATTTTGGAGGAATGCGACCATGCAGTATTAAATTTAGCTTTCAGTTAGCCTTGGGTCTCTTATGCGGCCCCGCGAAAGTTTTAGTGACGAAAATTATTATCTTGAGAACTAGAAGAGCTGTAACGCTGAAATTTCAGGAGGACGTTTTCTGCCTGTGCAGGTACCTCACAAACTCAAATTTAGCTCCCAAGTATGCAGAGGCCTTACGTACGACCATGTGAGAGTTTTGATGCGAAAGTCACCAGGTCGGAAGCCGAGAAACTAGGAAGTTCAAATTTGGAGGGATGTTCCCCATCCATTTTTTCAAATTCAACCTTCATGTGCCGACATGTGAAACTGTCAGTAGGAAATTCCTCGACTCAAGAGTCTGACAGCATAACTATTTTTCCACAAATGAAAGTGTAAAATAGTTATATTTTTAGCAGGTAAACATCCGCCAGACGGGACTGCACAAAAACACACGATCGCATCGGCTACCCTGATGGGCGCCGCTATTTGTTTTCTCCTGAATCGGTGTATTTTAACATTTACGCTCCTGTTTAAATAAACGTGCTTGAATTCGCTGTTCATGAGCAAACTCGCACCACCAAGCTGATTTTCGAAATTCATTTAAGTGCGTGAGACAGAAGTGACCGAGTGATAATGCTGAGCACATACTAAGGACACCTCGAAATAAATGAGGCTTTGACAAATGCTCCCTAAGGAGAAACTGTAAGGGGTGATAAAACCATTAAACGACGAACAAAACTGAAGCGATGCAGCATTGGCCAAAGGAAATATAAAAGTTTCCAGCTGCATAATCTCTCTAAACCCAGAGCAAAAGCACCCCTTTTCCGATTTGAAATGAAATGAATTAATGAGAAATGAAAATGTGAGGTAACCTGGAAGATCCGTATTTATGTTGTGAAGCTATAGCCACAGTGCAATTTGAGTGCTGCGAATTGAGCAGAAGCAGAAGCTGCAGCAGCTGTTCGTTGATCTTTGCACCAAGAAGCGGATAAAATCAGCCCTCGCCGGCTCTGCTCTTAAACTGCTTAGCAGCAGCTCCTCAGGTTTTTTCTTGCTTAACTCAAGATGACATCCTCCCGGGACTCTCGACTCGAGTGCCACACTCCATCCCCGACCT